CAGGTATGGCACAGACTTTGCTATACCACTCTCTTATGCCTTAGTCCTGACAAGAAGGAACTACCACAGATGGAGGAAAGGCCATTCAGTCTCTATGCCCCTGTAATATGTAGAGACCTAGGATACAAGTATCATTTCTTTAAAACTGAAGCTAGACGGCCAAAGGAGTGGGTGGGGTAAGCAGTAGTCAGTTACTCTGCAATGAATGAGATGTAGGGACAATACAAATCTGGGTGTGTTGGCCTTTTTCTTCTTATTATAAAGTTCTTATTCAGTGTCAGAAGAAAACTACTTTTTCTGCTTCACCTCCTTCCCATGTGACTTTGCAGCTGCTGTTGCTGCCACATTCAATTACACCGAGCATTGAGAACAGAAGCTTTCTTCATAGAGACCACAGTTCAGTTATCCAGCAATAATGACTTCTGACCCCTCATACTGCACCATATTTAAACTTGTGAGCTGGAAATGAAAGGCAGTGTGTTCTGTTTACAGTTTTATAAACTGCTTACTCTTTACCAACCATGTCAATGTATTTCACGTCATGGATTCTGAATTAGAAAGACACTTTGTGAAGCTTCTAGTGAAAGGAAACACTCCTCAACACTCTGTTTATAGGCACATCGCTTTATGGAAAACAGCTCCAGGTACTTCTGAAAAATAAGCAGTACTTGAGAAGAAACTTCTCAATAGAAATGAAAAATCAGGAAACTGTAGTCAGGATCCTTACAAGGAATTAAGTTCAACCAGACAGGTAGGTTATGTTGTTCAGTTTTAGAAGTGGTTAGCTGTGCAAGTACAACATTGGAACTCCCTGGACATTCATGCACTTCCATTGGTGACCTGATTTCCAGTGGTTCAAAGCATTTGCAGGTCCGATTGAGTGAAATGGGGGCCACAGTTGCTCAGGATCTCTGTCAATCATGCAACCAGCTACTCAAGCTCCTTTGTCTAGATTAAAATGCCTACATTTTGAACTCCAGACAGAAACCATGTAGCCCTGTTTGGTGAAATCTGAAATGATGAATGAATAGGAATGTAAAAGTGTCATTCAAATTCCAAACCTTAAAAATCACCTCTCTGCCATTACTTGGAAACTAAGATACAAACAGCTCATCAAATTTTCTCTTGGCATCACAACATCTTTCTCTTTCTAGTCTTGCTTGTCCCTGTATTCATCATGAAGCTGAATAAAAGCATTGTGTAGGTATTAGACTTAGGGTCATCCATTCTTGGCTAACTCCTTTCTCTTTCAGAGATGCACAACCTTGGGAGCGTGACTGAAGGATGCCCGTTTGCGCCTGGAAGATACTTTAATGAATCACAAACTCATATTCCTTACACAATGAAGGCACAATGTGTCCTTGTTTCTGAATAAAAAATATACTGCATTCACAAGAAAATATCCTGCATCATATTTTATAAGCAGGCTCATAAGAAATGTGCTTCCACTTCATTTGTCTCAATTCCAATCAATTATCAGATTGAAGGAGGATTCTCTAAAAGTCAATAAACACACTGAATAGAAAAGAGACATACACTCTGTATGCACTGAAGTTAAAAGAGATCTGTGATACACAATTAATAGGATACAAGTTTGCTCATAACATAGAAGTGAAAACACTGAAAATAATTGTGGGTAGCATATACAGTGGTTTCCTTGTATGAGTGAGAAGATGAAATCTGTCCCCTGTATGGCATAATTGAGTTGGGCTAACTCAGCATGAGAAATATGTAGACTGATGTATTGGAAATACAAAAACAATGATAATGGGCTGGAGGGATTGACTGATGAAGCACAAAGCTACACATGGACCAATACAGGTTGGCTAGTCTGCAGTTAAGATGGCTGGAAAATTTGTCCCTGAATATCTGAAAGATAGGGATGGAGACTGAACTGTTCAGGGTAGTAGATAAGGGGTGAATATCAGGGAAATTTTTCTGACACTGGGATGGGAGCTTCCTGGCTTGAATCATTTTGGCAAGTATTTACCAAACTTTGATCAGGAGGCAAGTAGTAATGGCAATGGTGTAGATTCTCCCTTGCCATATCCTAAACTTCTGAATTTGGACACTGCAATTATCTCAAGAAGACAAAAGAGGAGCAAGGAACTAGTTCAGCCCCCCTGTCCTTGGAGTGTGATCCTACTATAGCCCACATCAGCCATCACTTCCAAAGGTCAGAGGTACACTTTGTACTGCAGCTTTGGATTTTGTGTCATTTCTTCTTGGGACCAGATGCAAACAACTTCCTTACTGGAGAGGTCTACCCAAAAGACAAGGACTCCTTCCCAGACTTTTCAATTTATGAAAATCATTGTATGAACAGAAATGGACTCCAGTAACATGGAAAGACCCCAACTGTCTCAAATCACTGGAGCTGGGTTCAGCCAGGCTACTGAAGGGATAATGCTAATAGACATAGGTCAGTGATACCATTGAGGCAGCTAATTATTCCAAGAACTGACTTTGTCACATACACTATGTGGAGGTGAAAGCTATACCCCTCTAAACACTCAGGCATGCTTTATAATAACTTAGCTCACTAGCACTGTATGAGGCCCAGAAAGGCAATCCTCATATGACATGGTCTTCCTGCATGTCTACACAAGCAGCAGGTTTTTTCACATTTACTTATCTCACCCTTCAGAATAATTTCATTTAGCAAATTTTCCATGTTTCTGTGAGTTATGAAAAAGGGAAGAGAACTGGATGGCAAACAGGGGAATGGAAGCAAAGGAGCAGTAAAATAAGAGGTACTGACCTAGCTAAATGGATGAAAAGGACATCCAAGGTCCTAGGCCTACCTCTCCAGACCCCAAGTGTTCAGAGAGTGCAGCAAGGGTCATTTGCTCTGAAGGCCCTTCCTTGCTTTGGGAGAGGGCACCTCAGCAGCCCCACGACAGGCAAGCATTGCTGAGAGAAATGAAGAGGCAGATGCGCCAACATTTGTGTAGTGCATCAAGTTCAGACCAAATATAGTCCCACTGAAATTCTGGTGAGTCCCATCATCCATCACAGACACCAGCAGAGACAGCAGTTAAATAATACAACACACTTCTGCCTGCTGCCTGAGGCACACTGGACTCTTACAAAGTTTACTTTGTGGTTTTGTTCAGTCCAGTGAACTGAACTGCAAACTATTAATGGCGCCTTTAGTTGCACTGACACGAAATCCCCTTCCCTTCCAAGCATCAGCCATATCCTATCTACATATCAACCATATTTATGAAGAGGCTGCCAGGATTTTTTTCTTTTAAAAGTGCCCTGTGTGAGGATTCTGTCCCCAACAGTACAAGTCTGTGGATCTCAAAACAGCAGCTCAGCACCCTCCAGCTAAAGGAGATTAATACCAGCTTTTGCTCTTCAGTACCCTCTTGCAACAATAGGGTAAAAACCTTTTGAGTAGGGGTGCATCAATAGAAAATTTGGGGGCCAATACTGATGGCTGATTTTTAGCAAGCCATATCAGCCGATTGCCGATGCAATCAATTTTCCTTATATCAGTGCCGATCCAATATGGGACCAATGTATCCCATACTGTATCTTTCCTTGGGAGGCAGACAAAACCCTGTGCCATACACAGTGCCATGGTAAGGAAGTTTGGCACCCAGAGCAAAGCCCACAGCAGCAGCCTGCCCTCACCCCATGTGCAGATTCAGGGGGGCACTTGCCCCCACCCATGCTTTCCCAGGAGCGCACACAGGGGTGGGAGCCGCCCTCCCCCCATTCCCGCGCCCCCCCCTCAAATGAACCGCTTGCAGGTCTGTCCCACGCCCTGGCCTGCCTGGACAGTGCCTGTTGGTGCCCCTTTGCTGCGGTGCCCAGAGCAGTCACCCCACTTGCCCCCTCCCCCCCACTTTGCTATGGCACTGGCCATACACCATCCAGCATTGAACTGATCCACTACAAGACCCACTAGTGTACAGGAGGAGGGCCCTCATAGGTGCACACTGGCAACGCTGTGGAACAGGTAAGATATTGGCTACAGTGATTTTTTTTTTTGCATCATTGCCTGATATAATTTGTATTTAGCAAATTCATGGAAAGCAAACAAAGTTCAAAGGTCTCAATAAAAGAGTTACAGAAGCAGAGGCAACATTTGATACATAGTCCCTGTCACTGTCTCCTGTTCATGGACTGTAATTCCCCATTGTTTACCAGGCCCTCTCACACAGCAATGGGAAAAGGGCATTTTTTTTAAACATAAGAGGGTGACTATAAAGGCACAAAAACTAGCACTGAAAGCTCCTCAAGCTTCTTTTCTTAAACTGAGTAGATTTCAAGTCCATGGCTTCTCTGAATTTAAAAACTAGAATCATTCTATTATATTGATTGTTACATGCTTTTCCAGCAAAGCCAAATGAATCAGTACCGAGGATCTTGAAACTCATACCAACCCAACAATTTCTAGCCAGTGTAATAAGCCCAGCAATCCTGCAGTCACTGCATGCAGACCTGCAGGCCAAGGCAAACCTGCCACTGCAGACCAGCAGTCCCAGAGCAGCTCTCCAAAGGGAACCCGCTCTAGTGCCAAACCACTCTTGGGAATCAAGGACAGGCAAGCTTATTCATTCTGTGTTCATGGCACATACACCAGTAAGAAGAAATATCATTAAGAAATCATACAGAGCCCCTTGATAATGCTCCCCACTGGTGGGAGCAGTTGTTCAGCCTTCCTCCCAGCCTGAGTGGTTCTGCACTGACAGATTTTGAAGCAAAGACCTAACTCTCAACACAGAGCTTCTTTCTTCTGTGAGATCCCAGACAATGGCACAGCTGGTATCTTTCATGGTAGCCTCACTGCCTGTGGCTGAACACTTACCTAAGGGAAAAAACTCCTCCCAGCTCTGAACAGATCCTTATCAATTTGAAAACAGCCATATTACTTTCAGAAAAAAATAGGTAGTTATAGATTGCTCCCCCAGAGCCAAGGAAAGCGACAGCCCGACAAGTCACAGCAGCATCACACACAATAAGAGAGAAATCCCACTTCACCTTACCTGAAGAAGCCAGTAGCACCTTCTGTGGAAAGTGGGGATGATAGAGGAATGGACATAACAGCCGTACAAACACTAGGGAGAAAAAGCAGATGCTGAGTTAGTGAAGGAAATCAGTGCTCAGATGGTAACCTAAGTGAATGAGAAGGGCATGCCTGCTTCAGGGCCAGGTAGCTATAGTATATTATAGACTGTGTTATGTTGGCATTTACTAAAATCAATACCTGCAATAGATCCTGCTGGTAAAATGTAATGTCAGATTGAATTATACAAAAGCTTGAGAGTAGCACTTCATAAACATTCACAGGTTCCAGCATCAACAAACCAGACTTTCAAACCCTTCCCTGCTTTGCACTTTGAGTAAGTCAGCACAGCTGTCTCAGATATTTTGAAGTAGATAATCCACATGGGACAGCGAGGAGAGAGTGATGTGGACCAGTGGACAGGGCACTTGGTGGGGACTCAGGGGACCTAACATCTAATTCCAGCTCTGTCACTGGCCTACTGGATGACCTCTGGGAGTTCGCATCACTGCTCTATGCCTCACTTTTCCCACCTGTAAATTATTGATATTTCCACGTTATTAGTGCTATATGGAAACAAAGCAATAGTATCACTTGCTCAATCATTATCAACAGAACAAAGAAAAAACACTCCTTTTTGTGGGTTTTTTGAGACTCAGAAAGACATAGTTTCAGTAATAAGCTGAAAGGTTTTTGAAGCCAGTAAGTATCTGGGAAACTGATCTTGATCCTAATTACAGACCAACATAAATGTCTGGCCCTTTTATCCTAAGGTATAATAAACATATGCCCACTACACATGCCCAGCAGACAATTCCTCACTAGGACGAGGTGCACGGAGCAGACTTCTGATTTGAACCCAGGTCTAAGATGTCTGAACTGAACTGAACGTTTCTGCCTCCAGAACACTGCTGTGGGGCGGGAGCAGCAAACGATAACTGAATTAATAAGGCAGTCCTCTATTACATAACAATTTATTTTAAGCTTCTACTGCAAAGAATCTCTTTAGAGATGCACTTGCAATATTAGAGAAATAACTGGAATCAAATTACCTGGTTTCCTAAATCAGCATTAGAAAGCTGAAGCAATTGCCTTCAAAACCACTTATTAAGCTACCTAGATTTCTTCTAATAACCACTTAAGTGATAAACTACTGTATTTACCCAAAACTCAGTCACCTAGATAAGGTCAAAGCAAAAATGCTGCATTATATTAACATGAGTCCAAGCACACAACAAAGAGGCTTGCTATGTACATCTTCATCATTTATTTCAACGGTATTCCTCTTCTTAAAAACAAAACAAAACAAAAAAAATCCCTTCTTTTGTTAATGAAGTCAATTTGAATCATGCTTTCTATGATTAGTTGAAAAGAAAGGGAACACTGAGGCTAGGGAATTTTGGCTTCAGGAAAATCAGATTTCCAATATGTTAGAACCTTTAAACATTGTTGTCATTTGGGAACTATACCCAGTATAAACCAACCAACCAAACAAAGCAGAAAATAATTTTAAAGATCCCTGTACAATTCCTGTCCACAATATATATTAATAATATATATTAATATATTATTAAGAATGCAATATTTTCTTTTGATGACTTTGGTTTTAATATATATATTTTTTATGTTATACTCCCTCCTACTGAAGAAAATTCATGTTCAGATGTTTTCCTTAAATGTTAGCTTGCAACTACTGAGCAATCTGCTTCCAGCTTTTATCCACTATTCCCCACTTAACGATCATGTACATCTGAGCAATATCAGTATTTCTACAATTACAGCACGGAAAAAAAAAAAGAAAGAGAAAAGAATCAACCTGATGGCTCCGAGTCGGATTTTTTTCAAAATATTTTTTATTATTACTATTATTTTGTGTTTTGCTCGGCAGAGTAGATTGATTATAATAATATTCTCCCCTTAACTAGTGCTTTACTTATTCCAAGTGCTTTATAAATGTTAACTATTTAATCCTCACAAGCTCCTGGAGAAATAGATCAGGATCATAATCCCCCTTGTGCAGAAGGGAACTAAAGATATTCTATATGGCAGATTGCAGTGCAGGGTAGAAATATGCATAGCAGCTATAAACAAGCCTGCTTTGGTCCCAGCAGCAGTCTAGCTACAGCAAGAAAGAGTTCTGTGCAGGCTAATCTATCCTGTCAAGGAGCAGGCTACTGCTGGTGGCCAAGCTGGCTTGTTTAAAGCTAGCTCAGGTATATCTATGCAATGCTGCAAGTGTAGACATAACCTGATACCCACTGAGTCTGCAGCAGTTTGCAGAGGAAGACTTGTTAGCCTCAGACCCCCGCAGAACTGGAACCAAAAATGGTTGGATGGGTGTAAAAGGGAAAAACAGTTCCCAACTCATCACTTCCGGTAATGGTGCTGGAAATGCCTTGTCTGTTCTGCATCAGCAGTTCCTCAGTAATCATTCCTCTCCCCAGCTTACCCATAGAATTGAGTTTAGCATTTGAGTCTTTCCATAATTCCCCCACAAAGGGAACAGGAGGGACTTGATGGGGGGCTTCACTCTGTGCAGACTGCAGGTCTCCCCTGCCTGAGAGAAACAAGGTCCACCAGCCAGATCTCAGGTCTGCTTTGCTTCTGGGAGCTGCTCCCTTGGTCTCTCTTTTGCACTGAACATCACAATCTGGGATGAATAACAACTGCAGATCAGACACTTCAGAGTCCTAAATCTGTTCTCCTAGTTGGACTCCTATAGTGCTGTGAAGAAGGAGAAAAAGCCAGACCTCAGGATCTGAAAACCGTTGATCTTGTGCTCCAGCTGCAGAAAGAGGTGGCAGAGCAGCTAGGGAGAACTCAGCACATTCAAGGCAAATGCTCAAATTACTGAGAGGCAACCAGTTGACTCACTCACTCCAGCTCTCCAAGGGAAGAAAAAAACCCTTGCAAGAGGAGGGACCTCCCTAGGGCTCCCCCAGGCTGTATGCCTCCCTTTCCTCCAATGTGCCGTTCTTCAGCCACAGCAACCAAGTCTACCACTCAGCAGGAGTGGTGGGAGTGTTCAGAGGTAACTTCCTGGTCATGGCTCATCTTGTAGACATTAAGGCTACAGACAGACAAAAACCAGTTTAAGTGATCAGAAACTGGTTTAAACCTGTAACAGAACAAATGTTCGGTGCACATAAAACAGTTTGAAAATGGCTGAAACCAGTTTGAGATAAAGCTGGTTGAATATAGTATCAGACTTAACTGATTTGGCTTCAACTGGTTTACGCAATATCTGTCCCAGACCCCTGGCTGGTTTAAGATAAACCAGACTCCCCCAGCGTCCTGGCATGCTTTCTGGGCTGGATGGGGCTCTCTGCTCCACAGCAGGGCTGCCCCCCTGCCCCCATTCCCTGGCTGAAGCTTAGCAGAGATGGCAGGTACAGCAGGGTCTGCCTGGCTTCCCCCTGTCCTATCACTGCTTGCTGGAAAAGCAGAGATCCCCCCACTCCCTCCCTCCTATCTCCCACAGCACTAGCCCCATGGATCCTAGACATGTAGTATGCTAGTTAATGCTGATAGGTGTCTGTGTGAGAGTGTCTCCAGTTTCACTGGGACAGGCAGACAGAACAGTGACTTTTTAGGGCTTTTGGACCTAATCCTTGGTAAACTGTTTAAGAAGAGTTTGAACTAAAGGACAGAGGCTGTTGTTTTGCTGATGAGGTAATAAACACTGCTATCAGCCCCCTGCTGGCTTGCTCACCTGTCAGTTTGCTGCAGTCAGTATAAAGAAGCAGGGAGAAGAAGATTGAAAAGCTCTGTGTCATCAACAGATGCATGCACTGCAGACCCCCATTTGCCTTAGAGTGCTAGCAGGGGGCTGGGGGCTGGCAACACTCTCACCCTTGAGCAGCAAGTAGGGAAAAGCCTGGGATCGTTCAGGCAGACGTCCCTAATCAGAGGTCCACATGGGGCCTGGCCATGTCCCCCTCAGCTCAGCTCCCTGCAGAAGGGAAGGGAGGGCTGCTCTAGAGCTCCCCAGCTTCTAGCCTGCACCACTGCAGGCATGTGCCTGAATTTCCTCAGTCCAGAGAGAATGTCTGTCCCCTTACAAACCGTTTCATCCTAGCCAGGTTAGATTAACCTGCAAAGATTGAATCAACTCAGGCTCAGGCTTTTTGAATGTCTGTCCCTAGCCTAAATGGCTCACCCAAAGTCACAAAGTGAATCAGGGGTAGAATCAGGAATAGAACCCAAGAGTCCTGACTACCAGGCAGGAGCTTCAAGTACCAGACACTATTTCTATTATATATAGTACCCTGTTTTATCAAAACATCTGTGTTTGGGCAGCATCAGTACTGTCAGCACAGCTCCAAGAATAGTGTCTGTTGATTATTTACTGCTGCAGAACCAGCAGGGGAACACAACACATTGTGTTTTTGTCAGGGATACTAAACCCGAGGCTACTCTTTTTATTTACTCTATGATGGAGTGGACGGTTGTTAGGCTTTTTAAGATCCAACAATCAGATATTTAGAATCCAGTGAACATTTCCCATGAAATGAGAACAAACTTTACAATAGGAGAATAAAAATCTGTCAGCTTCTCTTTAACATAATGACAGTCAGGCCAAGAAAAATTTTCTCTTTACAAATAGATATTCAAAGTCCCTTCTGCACTTCTGCATTTTGGGGAAGACGGTGTTGAAATTATAAACAAAGGCAAGACGCAGAGACAACCTGAGTAGGGTGCAGGGCCCAGGGCAAATCAGCCTATGCAGGGCCCTGCCCCTGAACGCAAGGAAGCTGGCAGCAGATTCAGTGGCGGGGGGAGGGAGCAAGCGGCTGGAGGTGTTGGAATCAGTGGTGGGGTGGGGGAGGTGCAGAGCAGCTGGATGTGAAGCTCGCGGCAGCATGGCATCGCCACGGCCACTCTGCCCGGCTCTGCAGGGGGTCACCCCACTTCACTCCCCGCTCCCCCAGAGACAGCCCTGGCAAGAAGGATCCTATTATGGCAGTGTTGCCAACTCTCACGATTTTTGGCGTTGCTCTTAAAGTCTATGCTTTGGGAATGTGAAAAAGTTTTTTACGTTTCTGAAGTGTA